ATGATAATGCTGATGTGTTGTGGATGGGGAGGTGTGATTTGAAGATGACAATGATGATATGTTGTGGATGATAATGCTGATGTGTTGTGGATGGGGAGGTGTGATTTGCGGATGATAATATTGATATTCTGTGGATGATAATGCTGATGTGTTGTGGATGGGGAGGTGTGATTTGCGGATGATAATGACAATATTTTGTCGATGATAATGCTGATGTGTTGTGGATGGGGACGTGTGATTTGAAGATGATAATGATAATATTTTGTCGATGATAGTGTAGATAATACTGGATGATAATGCGGATATTGGATGATACTGAATGACAATGCTGATTTATTGCGGATGGTAGAGTGTAATTTGCAAATGATAGTGGATGGTATTTAACGAGAAAGATGATGTATTGTGGATGATGGTTTGTGGTTGATATTAGTTGATGTTGGTTGATATTGGTTGATGTTGGTTGATGTTGGTGTTGGTTGATATTGAATGATATTGGATGATAGTGGATAATCTGTGGATAATCTGTGGATAATTGTGGATGATAATGCTGATTTATTGTGGACGGTAGAGTGTTATCTGTGGATAATGCTGACATATTGCGGATGGTGGAGTATAATTTGCGAATGACAATGCTGATATTTTTTGGGAGGTGGAATGTAATTCGTGGATGATATTGCTGATATGTTGGGGAGGGTAGAGTGTAGTTTGTGGATGATAGTGTGGATAATAATGGATGATATTGGATGATAGATGATAGTGGATGATACTGGATGGAGGATGATAGTGGAAGGCCAAAGAGACACTATAAAACATATAAGGTAGAATAAGAGAGATTGAGACAAGGAAGAAAAAGAGAAAGGTTGAAGCAGGTAGATTTGGTAGGGTGAGGTGAACAAACAGATGGTTGAAATGGGGAGCGTTCCATCGTATCTCTACGTAACGGGACCGATGAAAAATTCTGATTGATATGATTTTGGACTGCTGAAACTTCATCAAAATGAATACCCACTGAGTCCAATTTGTCCCAAAACTTTCGCTCCCTGCCCTAGAAATATTTAGATTAATCAGTGAAAAAATTGCAGCTTCATGGTCCAGCTGGCTTCCGCCAATGTCTTTGTCACATTCTTATACTCCAAACAATTCTGCTGAAATACATTCAAAAAGACTCACTAAGAAAAGTTCTGACGAATCGCTTTGCGGTACAAATTCATGCCTCAATTTAAGAAGTCAACAGCTTACGGCATTTCATTTCGTCGGACCTGAACCACGAAATTGAGGGCATACAGCATATATGGCCCCGATTGATAGCCATTGAGTTTGGACGATGGATGATATTGGGTGGTGGATGATATTGATTGCTATTTGATGAAAATGATGATGTATTGTGAATGTTGGTGTATGATTTGTGGATGATATTGTGGATAATACTAGTTGATATTGTTGATTTTCGTTGATATTGTTGATTTTGGCTGGTTTTGGTTGATATTGGATGATAGTGGATAATCTGTGGATGATAATGCTGATATATTGCGGATGGAGGTGGATAATCTGTGGATAATATTACTGATATATTGTGGATGATGGTGTTAGAGATTTCACGGGTCATAGGGTTTATGTATTGCTATTTGATCACTCATATGTCCCGTAAAGTCCCGAACATGGAGGTCGTACCCGGAATGTTCAGATCAGAACCGAAAGTTATAACCATTATAACCAGTGGCTTTAGTGGCCTTCTGCCCCGCGATAATAATTACTGCATTCGGGGCAGTGTCCACCATTACCGTGACTTCTTTTCGTTTGTAACGATTTACTATTTACTGACTCATTTTCAACCTCCAGCCTGGTCACTCAGCGCCCTTGGTTTGCCGTGCCTGGCCGTGCCGCTTCAGATCACTTCGGATCAGTTCGCAGCCCTCGCCCCATCGGGAGTGATGAAACAGTAATACATAACCCCTATGTCCCGTGAAGTCTCTAACATATGGTGTATATTTTGTGGATGATAGTGGATGATATTGAATGATAATGCTGATTTATTGTGGATGATATACTCTATGAATGATAGTGGATGGTATTTAATGAAAATGATGATGTATTGCGGATGATAGAGTATAATCTGTGGATGATAGACGATGATATTGAACTATAATGCTGATTTATCGTGGATGATGGTGTGTACTTTGTGGATATAATGCTGATATATTGTGGATGGTAGTGGACAATACTGGTTGATATTGGATAATATTGGATGATAGTACATAATTTGTAAATGATAGCGTGGATAATATCAGCTGACAGTGGGTAAGACTAGATAATAATTAATTCAGGATGACGGAGTGGATAATACTGGGTGATAATGGATGATGGATGATAGTGTAAGGTCCCTGGTATCAGCTTGTTGCTGATGGTCCCTGTAAGCGCATATATGACTACATGTACCTCTTTTATAGGGAGTTCCGTCAGATATCACTTTGAACAACTCATCGAATATTCTCTCGAGTTTCAAAGGTTCCCTAGCTAGAATGTATAACGGTGAGATAGAACTCCAGTGTCAGTCTGGAGAAAGTAGTGATCAAAAAGTAATACCAAACCCCTATGTCTCGTGAAGTCCATAGCAGATAGAGTGATGATACTGGTTGATAGTGTATAATCTGTGGATGATCTGTGGACTATTTGAAACTACGAGAATGTCTAATCATCGCTGCATCTAGCACACGATGAGACTGCAGCGGTGGGTTTAAATCTGAGTGCCATCGCGTGAATGGCGTGAAGTGCGTGATTGTCATCGTTCACGATGGTACATCTGTCAGTTTTAACAATACAGGGAAGATCAGCACTGGCCTTGCATAAAGATGACACGCTATACAAAGAGGCTTTCCATTTAAGATTTCCAAGCTCCAACGCACTGAAGGGAGTTCTTGGCTCCTTTAAATACTTCCTTTGAAAATTCAAGAAACCTTAATTGGTTTGTTAAAGTCGTTCGCAGGGTTTATTTGCTTAGTGACCAGGAGGCAAAGACAAATATACGTCTTGCCGCCATTTCAAGTGAACTATGGTCACGAGCCGTCAGGAAAACATATCCTATGGGACGATGTCATTTATTTGGTTGACATTGGCTGTGGGCAGAAGTCTATTTGACAGGGTCACATCCTCTTTCGGAGACTTCGTGAATTGGTGCTCCCGCATTCTCACCTGAGCCAATGTTGCGATCTATCATAGGTTTTTTTCTTTATAGTTTCTCGTTAGTGTTGGGGTTTTACATCTCTCCAGTGATACCCTATAAGATGATGTTTCTTTGAAAAAAAAAGTGAAATGAATGTATCGACTGGAAGCACGGAGTCGGGAAAGTGCATGGAATCGTGGAGTTGAAGTTGCAACTTCGTCAATCAATACCTATCGTCGGCCAACACCTATGATGAAAAAGTTACTTTTGTTCGTTCATTGATTTCGATAAATCCCTTGGAGTAGACTGTCGTTGAAACTTGAGATCATGCTTTGAGTCAGTGTTTGCAGCATGTTCCGGAAAACAGCACCGTGCAACCGCAGCTAGCAAAATTGTATAGATTCCACATGTTATTTAACAATGCAAACATTGCTGCGACAAGAGAGATGTGCCTTTGTCTTTTGCGTTTTCTGACAAAGACTCAACGAATGTCTATTGCGGCGTGATACACCTAATTTCGCATCCTTCAACCCCACGTGCCTGAATACTACATCATGTCCGGATGTCAGCATTAAATTCAGTTTCAAACTGTTTTTTCACTTTTCGTTCAAGCTGCAATTGCCAGCTTGCACAGTCCATATTTGATTCCAGGGAAAAAAAAAAAAAACAAAAAAAAAAAAACACCGAAACTTTCTGGCTGACTCTGAACCCGGCTATTCATCACCCAAAACAAGAGGAACCCAAACATCCGCTCCCCCAGATTCGATTCCCAAAACGGGTGGAGTCAGTTGGCCAGCGTTTCGTTTCCGATACGCATGCCGAGCTTATCATGCCCCAGGAAAAAGCAGTAATTGCCGTTCAAAAAAGAAACGAGCATTCAAAGAATGAGATGTTCGCTGTCAAGCTTCTGCGCGGGGTGCATGACCATATCAGAGGGGTACGGAATTACGTCTCCGGATTCTCATTTAACGCGCCTTCAAACACCATGCCTGAATCAGGGACTTTCAGCCGCCTTAGCCGCCTTAGCCGCCTGATGTTCAAACCCAGTGGAGAGCAAAGCATGGCTCGGGAGCTCCACCGTAAAATCTAAAACGGTCGCTCCCCGCATCTCTGGGGTCACGTGAACGGGCCTCCTTGGGACAACTAAAGAAAAGTACCCGCAATGGCAGTAGGCACTAGTCTGCACTCCAAATTCACCCGGCATTGCATCCCATCATCTGGCGTGAGATTATTTGCTCGCCCAGCTGGAGTTTCTCACTTGCCGTTTCCGGACGCACGTTTTGGTGCCTCTCTATCGGTTACCCTTTTTTTTTCGCGCGGCAGCGTCTCTAAAGCGACGGATGCCGAAAGTGGCGGGGCCGCTTCGCGCTCTCCTGCTTTTCGCTGTCGATCCTCGCCAACGCACTCCGTTTTTCCCACGTGCATATCGGGGTTCGATGGGGCTCGCGAAGCCCTTCCCTGGGAATAGCCTCTTATCGCCATGGTATAAAAGCATTGCCTGCCACCCCAAACAACTGGCCCGTAATTTGCTTCTGACATCAAACTTTTCATTCTCTCCAATCTTAGCATTTTCATTTCCAACACTTGTATTTGTGTGACACGTCAACGATATCTTGCTGCGCCCCCCACTAATACCCACTCAATTAATTGCTCTGCAATAATCTAACTTCTGCAAACACAAAAGAGCAAAAAACAAGCAAATACAAGGCATGTCTTCCAGACTCGTTGGATCTGCCAGATTCGCCAAGTCGTTTTCCGCTCAGTACACCGGCACCTTCACAAGCCCATTTTCTCCCGGCAGATGCTTCCACAAGTCCATCAAGAAAACCAGCGTTGCCTTTGCTGCTGGCCGTACCAACACGCCCAAGTCGATTCCCAAGACTCCAGATTTTGACTCTGCCTTCTTGAAAGACTTTTCCACAGGCGAGCTTTTCCTGTTCATGGTCATTGGCATGGCCACGCTCAACAAACCGATTTTGAATATTTGCATCAAGGCGTTTCCTTACGTGCCGCTCCCTATTATCAAGGCCCTTGTGTACAAGATCTACTGCGGTGGAGAGACCATCGAGGACGTCAAGCAGACCGGCCAGCGATTGGCCACCAGAGGAATCAACAACATGATGATCTCCTTGACTATCGAGGCCTGCGAGGGCAACGATAACATCGACCCCCAGTTTATTGTGGACGAGACCAAGAGATCTGTCTCTGAGATCTTGGTGCCCCACACGGTCTCAATCATCGAGAATTCCGGCAAGGATATCAACTCCATCCCGGCCGGATACGTCGCCTTGAAACCCACGGGGTTCACCAAAAACGCCGCGGCCGTCTTGAGAAACCACGACTCTCCTGAGAACAAGGCAGCCTTTGAGGAGATTGTGGCCGGTGCTTCCGCCGTGTGCAAGACCATTTATGAGGCCAACCAGAAGTTGGCCCAGAAATACCCCGCCAGAACCGCGCCGTTTGTGGTTGGTGTCATTGACGCAGAAAAGTACGACCTCCAGCCCGGCGTGTATGAGTTGCAAAGAAGATTGTACCAGCTCTACAACAAGCTCGACGCCCCGGTTTCCGTGGTGGGAACCTTGCAGATGTACTTGTCGGGCTCCTCGGACTTGTTGGCGGAAGAGGAAAAATTGGCCCGGGAGAACAAGTACAGGTTGGGCTTGAAGTTGGTGAGAGGTGCGTACATCCACTCCGAACAGCAGAGAGCCAGTGTCATCCACAAGACCAAGGAGGACACCGACATCAACTACAACCGGGGCATTTCGTACTGCATCGAGTCCATCTTGGGCAGCCAGGGCAATAGCTCCACGGTCGGCCACTTGGTGGTGGCCTCGCACAACGCCGACTCTTTGAAGTTGGCCACGGAGAAGACGTACAGAGGCGAAAACTCCTTTCAAAACACCAACAAGGCCAACATTTGTCTCGGCCAGTTGTTGGGCATGGCAGACTCCATCACCCACGACTTGATCAAGACTCACAAAGTGGACAATGTCATCAAGTATGTTGCCTGGGGCCCACCTTTGGAGACCAGGGAGTACTTGTTGAGGAGATTGGAGGAGAACGGCGATGCCGTGAAAAACGACACTGGTTTGCCTTTGATCAAGGCAGCCGCACGGGCCATTTTCCAGAGAGCCTCTGCGTAAATAGCCGCCCCACTAATGCATAACGATGTTCAAAGTAGGCTGCTTCAGGCCAAGGTGTTAGAATTCCACGTAGTGCACAGGGTCCCATATATACTTGCTGATGACACACTGCACCACCCATTCCCAGCTGACGACCCCGTAGCTTGTCTTGGCAGAGATCCCCAGCTTTCTAGTAGCCTGTGCCTCCTGGCTCTTCATGTACTCGCCCTGCGAGTTATCGTAAACAAGGCACTTGTGAGTACCCATGTTCTGTAGCTGAACGTCCACATCGTGCGGCGTTTTGCACACCCTGATGCCACTAGCGCCAAATGCATGGAAGATAAAGTCACACATGTCGATCATCTTGCTATCCTGCTTGCGGTCCAAAATCATCATGTGATACCCGCTCAAAAGCCCACTGTTGTTCTGGAGCTGTTTGCCCAAACAGACGCCCGCATCGAATTTGGCCCTGAATCCGTATACTTCCAAATTCGTCACGGTGTTGGTATGGATCGAGTGTCCAGCAGGGAGAAGAAAGACAGGCCAGTTTGCCAAAAACGCCCTATTTTCGAGTGCTTTGTCCACAAAGCAATCGGCTAGAATGGGCCACCCCAATGTTAGTGCCTGTAGATACTTGGCACTTCGTGAATAGCCGTCCGAGAGCAAAGCACCAAAAGTGAACGTGTCTAGGTTTTTCCGAGCAAGTAGACATAGCCCTGTGGCGAGTTCCTTACGGACCGTGACGTTCTTTATTTCGCCGTCAATGAACAGCCCCCCGTTGGTGATGATCATTTCTCTCAAGCGATCCTTCCGAGCGCCTTCTATCGAAGTCACAAAAAATATCATGCCCGCAAAAAGATCCGATTTGCGGGAAATGGCCACTTCCTTTGTGGGTTTGCGGGGACTGACATGCTGTTTGTCCAAAGTCTGCTCGATGAGGGCCGGAGCATCATGAAGCTCTTCTGGCGTGGCGTCGATGATCTGGTGCACAAGAGTGTAGTTGTCCTGGAGCAAGTCGAAGCCTTCGTGGAGAATGTGGAACCGCTGCTGGTGGATTGTCCACTGGTTCAACTCCATGCAAATGTCTTCCAAAGACACCATGATTTCTGGATGCGGGGCCACTTTAGCCAGCCGCGTGGCCCTTGACTTCCTCACCAAGATCGCGGTGTCGTATCCCCGGATGCACCGCACGGTGGATTCGGCAGTATAGAACATGAGCCCGGCCACGACATAGTCTTCATGGCGCATTTTCAATTGCACAACGTCTCCCACGCGGATATCGAGCAAGTGGAGGTCGGAGTTGCGGGCCTCGATCTGGTGGTCCTGCGAAAACTGCACGACTGAGAAGACCTCTCCGTAGGTGACCACTTTGGCCGGGAACTTCTTGAACTGATAGAGAGCCCACACGGCATGGGCATTTTTGACCACGTCACGGGACGAAGCGGCGGGGGTATCCTGGCGCAAAGTATCGCCCTGCTTGAGTGTATGTACAGTATGCGGGGGCATTAGAGTTGCGGCTTGCTTGGTTTTCGGTATGGGGAGAAGTGGATCGTGGTGGGGTTGATCGTCATGGCCCCGACCCTTGAAGGTTGATGCGTTGTTTGGAGCATTGTTTGGAGCATTGTTTGGAGCATTGTTTGGAGCATTGTTTGGAGCATTGTTTGGTGCGTTGTTTGGTGCGTTGTTTGGTGCGTTGTTTGGTGCGTTGTTTGGTGCGTTGTTTGGTGCGTTGTCGGATGGTGCATTGCTGTTCGGTGTGTTGCTGTGTGGTGTATTGTCCTTTGGCGTGGCCGCTCCATAAGCCTTTGCCCAGTGTCCTGGAGCACGGGGAATGCCTGCTTCGAGCGAATGTGCAAGCGCGTCCAAGTCGATGTCGTTCACGTCCTGGCTGATGTCCTCAAGCTCGGAGGATGGCTCGGTCCCGCCGTCCACAGGCAAGCCCCCCTCGCCACGCGTGTCCATGGGATGGTCACTTTGTTTCCCCGCCGTGCCCGCAAAAAGCGCAGGGACCAGGTCCGAGTCGCCCAGTTGCGACAGGCTCTCCAAAGCAAGCCTGCGGCGCTTGAGCGAGAACATGCGGCCGGGGCGGGAAGCCAAGCCTGCCTCGTCGTCGCTTTCAATGCCGAGGCGCAGTGCCCGGCGGTGGTCCTCGTTCTGGCTGCTTGAAAACACCGGCCTGCACGAGAGATCCACGTGGGACGTGGGGTCCGGGTCCGAGTATTCCTCCTGCGTGTTGAGCACCTGCGTGGTGGCCACGGTTCTGCCGGCGGGGGCCTCGGCCGACTCGTCGAACGTGACGCTGCCAGGCAGGGCGTGCGGGGTGTTGACGCCAGACGGGCTTGTGGAGTACAGGCCGTTTTCTTGGCTGGTGGGTGGGGACACCTTGGCCAGCATCTGGGCCTCTTCAGAGATGTTGACGGGGCTGGTTTCTTCAAAGATATCGACCGGTCCTGTCTCTTCAAAGATATCGACCGGTCTTGTCTCTTCAAAGATATCGACCGGTCTTGTCTCCCCAGAGACGCTGACACGGCTCGTGTTCCCAAGAGCCTCCAGCCGCATGTCTCCGCGGCCTCCCTCCTCCGAGCCCCCCAAAAACAGGCCCTTCGTGGGCGAGCTGTCGATGGCCGCAAGCCCCTCCGTCCGGTCCTGCTGTGTGGACTCCAGCGCCAAGAACGGCGATGCATGGAGCCGCGCGGCCGGCCTGGACGTGCGCCCGGGCAGCACCGCTGGCCTGGAAATGACCTGTGTGTCCTGCTGCTCGCCAGGCCAAACACGGGCCCGTGGTTCGTCCGCCACATCCGCCTGTGTGTCGCCCAAAACCCCCCGCCGCGGCCCGGGGCTTGACGGGGCTTGGCCAAACAAGCCCAGGGTGTCCGCCGGGCTGGCCTGCGGCGTTTCTGGGCGTTTGTCTGCGGCACTTCCTCGCGGCTCGCCGGGACGCTCGGAAAAGACCGGATTCTGGCTGCTTTTCGCCCGGGGCAGCGGGCCCGCGGAGGCCCCGGGCCGCCGGGGAATCACCTGCGTATCGGCCAGCCCGCTGGAGGGCGCCGGCGCCAGAACCACCTGCGTGTCGGCGGGCCAGGACAAGGTCACGTGACCCGCCGGTTCCGGCGGCGTGCTGCCGCCGGCGACGTGGAGGTCGATGATCTGCGTGTCGCCCAAGGTGTCGTACCCCCGCCGCAGCGGGTGGCGGCCCACGAAGGCCGGGTCACGGAACAGCCGGCTGATCCGCGGCGAGAGGGGGCTTTCCGGGCGGGAAAAAAGAAACGAGTCGTCGTCTGGCGAGCCCGGCGCGCCGGAGTCCGCGAGCGTGTCGTCGCCCGTGTCTGGTGGTCTGTTTGGCGGGTCCAGAAAAGGCCATGGCGGCGCCAACTGCCTGCTGGAGGAGGCAAACACAAGGCTGTCTTCCTGGGTCGATGGATCCATGGAAAAGGCGCGCGAAAAGACGGTTTTTTTGCGTAGCGGGGCGCGGGGTTTGTGCCTGGCGCGTGTGGGGGCAGGGCGCTACCGGAGACGGCTGTCGGTGTGTTTTTTTTGCGTGGAATTGGCGTGTTTCTAGCGTGGCTAGAGCTCGCTGGAGGCTTAACTATGAGGCCGGCGCCGCGGTTGATGGCCATCTGCGAATGGGTGCGAATTGGTGCGGCGCAGATTCGGCTGGGGCCGACGATAAGACATGGCATGGGGTTTTTGCTGGCGGGGGTGTTTATAATTGTGTGTTGATGTTGTCTGTGGAATGAGGTGATTTTTGAATTGCTGTGACTTTTGAATTGGTGTGAATTTTGAATTGCTGTGACTTTTGAATTGGTGTGAATTTTGAATTGCTGTGACTTTTGAATTGGTGTGAATTTTGAATTGCTGTGACTTTTGAATTGGTGTGAATTTTGAATTGCTGTGACTTTTGAATTGGTGTGAATTTTGAATTGCTGTGACTTTTGAATTGGTGTGAATTTTGATCTGGTGTGATTTTTGAATTGGTGTGATTTGTGAGTTGGTGTGAATTTTGATCTAGTGTGATTTTTGATCTGGTGTGATTTGGTGAATTGGTGTGATTTGTGAGTTGATGTGATTTGGCCAATTGATGTGAATTTTGATCTTGTGTGATTTGGTGAATTGATATGATTTGTGAGTTGATGTGATTTAGCGAATTGATGTGAATTTTGAATTGGTGTGACTTTTGAATTGCTGTGATTTGGTGAATTAATGTGATTTGGTGAACTGATGTAAATCTTGAATTGATTTGAATCTTGAATTGGTGTGATTTGTGAATTGATGTGAATTGTGTATTTATGTGATTTTTGATCTAGTGTGATTTTTGATCTGGTGTGATTTGGTGAATTGGTGTGATTTGGTGAATTGATGTGAATTGACGTGAATTGGTGTTATTTAGTGCTTCTCGTGGATTGATGTGGGTTCATGTGACTGGGTGAATGAATGTGGTTTAGCAAATTAGCAAATTGATGTAAATTGGATTCATGACGCACATACCTGTGAAGAGGGCGCTCGCCTAAGTCACTGGTGAGATTGTCAGTTTAAAAAAGCCAAATATTGCAAGGTTTGGCTCGGTGGCGCCAGAGACATCTGTTGCCACGACACCTGGAATACGCCTCGGAAGCCGGTGCTTTGAATGGAGTTGAAAATCCTTCTTTAAGCCCAATGAGGGCATTTGTTACTCATGTTTGGGTATTGATAACTTATCTCTGATGACCCTGTAATATGGAGCTGCGTTATGTAATTTGATGAATGAATGTGATATTGTGGGAATTGATACTGGTCTATGTGATTTGATGATTTGATGTGAATCGATGAATTGATGAATTGAAATGAAATGCTTTTAGTTGACAAAAAGATATGAGCCGATATGAAATGTTATGAATTGATTGATATGATGAATTGATATTGATACATGCGAATTGGCATGAAACAGTATAAATTGATGTGGATTGATGTGTACTGGCATATACTGATGGGAAGTCGTGATTTGGTACGGATTGGTACTGATTAATGTGACTTGATATGTGTCGCTACCAATTGACACAAATACATAAACTAATATTTAAAATAATACGAATCAAAATGAATTGATATGAATTAATGTGAATGATATTAAATGGATGAATTCTAATTGATACTGATTAAGGTTAATTGATGTGGAATGGTACGATAAGTATAGTGCGACTAGTGTGAATTGATATGTATTTATGTGAACTGGTATGAATTACTATGAACTAGCATCAGTTGATATCACATTATATGAGTTGCTGGAGCTACTTTAGATTGCCCGAATTGTGTAGTATCGTTTGAATTGTGTTTTATTGTCTTGGATCTTTGTTAAATAACACGGATTGTTTGGACTTGACTGAAGCGAGTTGCTTTGACTTGTGCTAATTAGACTTCTTAAGAGAACTATACTGCATTCGGCAGGGCTTTGGGGATGACGTGTTTGATATTTGTTCAATTCTGTTGTTGTAGAGCGGCTCATACATAGGTATGACAATAATAGACCCTATATTAGTATAGAGACATTGTTGGTTTGGGGTGACTTTTTTTCAGGTGCAATGGATTTTTGATCTATTCGAGGAACATGGCACATTTTTTTCTTTTCATTTCTTGAATACAAAAAAACATGCTGGCCAAGCCTTCATGTTATTCTTGTTGTGTGTTGAGTTTCAGCATACTGTTCAGTTTCTAAACAGCCAGTCTAATTTTTTGAAGTATTGGGCCGCTAAAAACCCACAAAGCAAGGTGAATGTAGCTACCACCTCTTTAAATGTGGCCTTTATATTAGGCTGCGTGATGTTGGGTTTTACTGGGCACGTCTCGTTTTTGTTGAGGGTGTCTAGAACCACTTCCACGAACGCCAGTCTCAAAGGAAATCCAAATTCTTTATGCTTTGTGTGTAATGATAGGTATGTTGAATATTGAATGATATAATAAGTAGTCTTCAAGGACAAGAAATGTATCCTCTGGAGAACTTTTCAGGTACTTTAAATCGAAATTCAGAAGAAATGACATATCACAATAACGTTAATAATCGACATCCCGAGACATTCTGGCCATTTTCTCCAGGGCTTGGAAAGGCCCGCCTGGAATGTGCAGTATGATGACTGGCCAGTAGGCCTCCAGAAACATACCAAAAACACCCAAGATTTCGGTCTACATGATGTCTCTTTATATATCGCGTTGCTCATATCTCCAAAAAGAGAAGAACCCAAATTCACCAGATATAGACATTTAACTAAATCGGCCTTATTTGAACAAAATGTTTTATTACTGAAGGCCCAATTAAAACATCGTTTCAATAGTATTAGGAGATTGAGACAGACATTTTTCTATGCTGAGAATCGAGTACAGACAATTTCATATGATGATTAATGACAGAAGATACAAAGAAATTGTCCGCAGAGTTGGCCGATGCTACCCTAAAGCTGGACGAAAACAACTCTCTTCAACAAAGAGGCATTCTTTAGGCATGTACAAAGAAAGGACGCAACAGATCACATGATTTTCTGAAGTAAACCAATTTATAAAACACTGGAGTCGAATCTTCAATAAATGGCACCGATGCAAGTTTGTTTGATATGCTCCTATTCTGGAAGTATCACTTTCAGTCATAGCTAGGTGGCTAGGACAATCATCTCACATGTAGTCCCTTAACATTATATATCATTGAAGCCAGTAACTCGATGTATCCTGCTGCAAAAAGGTAGGCTATATCAACAGGATGAATATCGTGCACTCAGCCAGAAATGAATTCGTGGAATCTGTGCTTTCTATAACATAATTTTAAATGAGTTGCGGCCTCTCGCTTCATCGACTAAGTATCAGATTGGCCGGGGCTTCCAACACACTCATAATTAAAGCTCCAATAACTGTTAGGTTTCATCCAGTTTGATATACACAAGAACCCGGCCGGGCAAAGCCCAAGTCCCATGTCATGGTCTGATGCTACATCGTCTCAGCACCGCAGCGCAATTTGACTGTGCCTAATCCATTAAAATACACATACAAATAGCTAAATGGTGTTTTCACCAGAAGAATATATTCCGGATGCAATAGCCCAAAATACTGACGTCGTCCTCTTTTTATTCCCAAATTATTTGTTTGCCCCACCAGTTTTTGTTCTCATAACACGACAGGCATCAACTTAGAGGCCTACCCTCTTTTTCTCCAAGCACGCAACAAATACTCTGCTTTATATCACATGCACTTCTCAGGTCTGCATCAGTTGAAGCAAATTCAACAATGCCTGGGGGTCGCTCTGAACGTGGGGATTCTGCTGAACTATGGAGGAGAGATAACTCATCTGATCCTGCGAGAGCTGAGGCGGTATATCCTGCGGTGGTTGCTGCTGCTGCACTGACAAAGGCATTTGAGCCGGTCTAGGCGGAAGATGCGTCGAGCCCATGTTGGTTGAGATTGTGCCTTCGAGTTTCAGTAGAATGTTATCTAAGTTTGCAACGGCAGCCAGCGGGGCCCTCGCCACGGGCAGAGACTTTTTGAGGATGCTCTTACCCACGGGGACGTAGTCTTTCTTGACGGAAAAAAGAACGTAGAGCCCTTCACCAACAGCGGTGAAGTTCATATACGAAGGGGCGTCGTGGTTCAACGCGAATAGATACGCGTCTTTCACCATGGGCGCCCGGCCAGAGAGAACCCCGACCTTCGACCGTTTCAGAAGATACTCATATACTTTGCTATAGCTTGGGTCTTCCTTTTTGAGTTTCACAAGATACAAGTCCCGCGACTTCACGATCTGCAGCAAGTACGGGTCCGCCTTGGATCTATCCAATCTGCCCTCGATCTGGTACTTTTTCTTCTCCATCAATTCCTTGCACACACGCATAGCCTTGTTATGGAAGCTCACCGTGACGTTGTCCTTGGGCTTCTCGTAATTGGTGCACGACACAAACTCGGCCAGCACGCCGAAAGTCGCCACGTCCGGGAACGCGATCTCGCCCGCCCAGAACCCGGTGGGCATGGTGGGGGGCAAGGCCAACGCCGCTGTTTGTTTGGCCGGTGGCGGCGCCTTCTTGACCTTTTGCGGGTCTTTTGCCGCCAAAATGAAGTTGAGCTCGTCGTCGCTGGCGCCGTCAGACTCGTCCCTCTCGCCGTCAGCCTTTGAGGTCACATGACTGTAATCGTCGTCGTCGTCCCCAAGCTGGTATAGACTGGGGGCCAACAAGCCGGAGTTCTTGCTGGGCACGGCAGCGACAGCGTCGTCGGAAAACTTCCGGTGGTCGACGTTGCGGGCAATCATGCCCACGCTGAGATCGTCGTTGTTTTCATCGGTCTTGGTCTCGACGATCTCCTCGCCCTTGTGCGTGCGGCGGATGCGCTGGCTCAGGTCGTCGCTGACGGTGAGCACGGAGCGGCGGATCAGTGCCTGGCGCACCTTTTCCGCGTAGTCCTTCAACTCCGGGTCGATGTCCTCCACGGGCAAGAGGGTGAAGTCGGTGGGGCTTAGCTCGTGTGATATTAGCCGCATAAGCACGGCAGGTTTCTTCACCAATGCCATCACGCTTCTACTTTTCTCTATGTATTTCTTGTCTGTGGCGCCGGCCCACGCATACACGGCGGCCTCGAGCTTCTGGCCCCAGGCGTCTGCGCCGGCCACGGCGCTGTTGGCACGCACGATCACGTTGACAAGCGCCTTGGCCACGTTGGCACGGGTCTTGCTTTCCTGGGCGATCTTTGCGTTCGCGCCGGCGGCTTTGGTGCTGTTGACAGCGGCCTTGGTGGTGGCACTGGTGGCCTTGGTGGTGGCACTGGTGGCCTTACCTGCGGCAGGAACGTTGGAGCTGGCGGGCTTGAGGCTGACCGGGGCCTGCGGCACGCTGTCCTTAGGCGCCTGCGGGATTTCCCACGCCTGGTCCTTCTTGTCCAGTGGCGCGTTTTCCCCGCAGCGGTTGCACAAATAGAGCTCGGGAATCTGTTTTTCTGAGCGGTAGCCCATGCATCGAGCATGTTGCCATGTCTTGCAGTGCTCACACTCGATCATCATGCCGCCGTCGTCAGTCTCCTCGTCGTAGTTTTCCTCGGTCGTGCCGCAACCATCACACCGCACTTTGCCCTCGTCCTCGTCGGTGCCGCCGAGATTTTGACCGTCGTCAGAATCTGCCGCCGCCGCCGCAGTTTTTGCTTTTTTCAAGGCGGGCTCTTCGCCCTGCAGTAAGTAGTACACGTCATGCTCCGCCCGTCCGGTGTGGGTGCCCTTGTTTGTTCGGGATGACCGGCGGATTTCTTCCTCCATTTCGGGGACAGGTGTTATTTTGGCTGCTTTTATTTCAACAGATTGGGCTGTTGTGGTCATCCAAAGGCAGGGGAGTGTTGTGGTTTGCCCTGCTGGATCCGAGATAGTGTGAAATACAGGACTATGAGAGGCTTGCTGTGTTTTTGGGTTTCACACCTTTATTCGGGGGATGAGGGTCGAGGCGCTCACAAGCAGCAGATTTTATTTCGATGGAGCGCGTCCTGCACACAGGACAGCCCCCCCCCAGTCGTCTTCAAACTGGTGAGGCCAGTGAGGCTGAGATCTGCTAAGCAACAACGGTCGGTACTGCTCTTGCACCCTGAGTAAGAGTCGTTGACCGACATCCGCTCTAACCCGAGCATCCTCATTCGAGTCACTCGAGGACCATTTTCCACCCGAGCAATTTTATCTCTTGTTGCCGCTTCTTTTTCTTTCGCCTATCATGTTTCTTTGCCTGGTTTATCTTTTCGCCAGTGCTTTCTCTTTGCCCGTCACTTCTCTGTTCCCAGCTAGTCCATCGCCCGACCAGGCCCGCCGGCAGCACCAGAACCAGCCTGGTCAAATACTGCATCCAACAACCCGGCGCCGCTTCTCATAGACCCGTGACCAAGGCCATAAAGTCTCTGTCCTCCCCCAAAACCTCCTCCACGTCTGCCAAGACATTCTCACTAAAAAGTCCAGATTTCGTAGGCCTATACCCCTCAGACACCGCATCGGCTATCGAAGCACGGCGCAACTTCAGTTTGGATGGCAAGTTGAGGTCTTTGGACAAACTGGGAGAGGATGGAGGAGGAGCATGTTCAAGGCTCCGCAGGGCCAATTTGGCTTTCACATGTGAGTGCGAATGTCTTCGCTTCCGGTTGTAGTTTGTGTTTTTCGAGTCATTGTAGTTCGTCATCGGCTCGGCCACCACCATCGGGTGCGAGATGTGCGCTTTGTTCCGGAATGCCCCGAGAGGAACGTGCTTCTTGTTGTTGTTGAAATCTCGCCAAATGCGCACGTCGTTCTCGTCGTCGTTATCAAGCTCGCTGACATTAAGGAGCTCCTCAAGCTCGATTGCCAGATCGTCACTGTTGGACTTGAACGCGAAACCACGCCAGTTCTTGGCCCTGGGGGTTTTTGCTCCGGACTGGTTGTTCAAAGTGCGCGTGGAAAGCCCGTCAATGATCCCGAAGGGCTTGCTATCGAGAGCCGCCCACGTGCCCAAGACTGGCGGCCGATAGTCAGCGGTTTTGGAGGACAAGACCTCCTTGGCCAGCTTAGACCCAACACCTCCATCGTCCACGTGTGACGGGAGAGAAAGATCAACATCCGTGGACTCGCCACTCTCTTCGCCGAGGTCTTGTCCCGGCTCAACCGGCTCCATACTTGACTCCCGTTCCAACTGCCGCTTCCGATCCTCGAGATTCTGGCGGAAGACCTCCTCAAGCACCAACTGCTCGTCTGCATCATACTGGTCGATCTCGGAGCCGCTGTAAGCTTCCGCATCAGAACTAAAGAAATAGTTCCACAAGTACGAGTCGTCTTCATCTTCACTATCAAGCGGCCCCTTTTTCCTCTTAGGAAAGTGGGCCTTCTTCTTCTTCGATTGTTTCTTTTGCAGGTTCTGAGAGCTGATCTCCTTGACACCCTCCAGTTTTGAATTGGCGTCGTCGAAGAGAGGCTGGTCGAAATCGATGAAGTCCACATACTCATCGCCGTCTTCTTCGTCAAAATCATACTCGACCGCCTCGTCAGCCTCATCGTCCTCGCTGTACTGTGATCTTTCGTCACTCGAACTAGCATATTGAACAGCCTGCGAGCTTTGGGCCCCTGTGCTGTCGATCTCATTGAAGGAGTTCACGGCCCGCGCTGTCTCCATGCGCTCGGAGTCTATGTCATCTTCATCAAATCCGTTGGCCTCGAACTCGTTGACCAAATACTTCTCTTCTTCTTTCAAGAAAGAGTCCTCATTCTCGTCATCATTCATTGAGCTCAAAGACCCCTGTCTCACCTTTGAAAATCCGCTCTGCGGCTCTTTGATAAACTCATCAAAGTCATTGTCCGCCTGCAATGTCGCGAGCAAATCATTATCGTCGAACGCGTACTCGTCATCCGAGTTAAGCTCCTCTTCATTGATTTTGGGAACTTCTATTAGTGGCTGGTCGAAATGGAAGTCGAACGATTTGTGAGACTTGTCATCCAGAACCTCCTCGCCAAGGTCCTCCTCCTCCTCTTTCTTTAGATCTGTGAAGTTGTTATCTCCTTCACTGAAATCTTCTATAGCCAGCTCAGCAATAGGATCATCGAATTCGAAGCGAAAGTTAATGTCTTCTGGAATCGCAACTTCCGATCTTCTGCGGTAAATTGAGCTCTTGCGCCTTTTCGTCTTCACGGTGCTTGAAGCTTGCAAATCTTTCGGGTTCTTCTCCTTTCCAGGTTTTTGGCCGGGGTTGACATTATTTTTTCTGCGCTCAACTTGCAACCGAACAAAGTCCACTTCCGAGTCATCAGAAGAGGAAGAGTCCAACTCGTCATCGTCGTGTGAGTCTTCATCATTCGACTCCTCAGAATTAGACGATGGATAATTGTTCGTTCTGCCCACCATGGAATATATTGCTTCAAGACCAATCTTATCATTATCTTCGTCATCAGCTCCAACGACCTTGATTTGAGCAAAAGGATCTTCTCGATCGGTGAATTCCTCGATATCATCATCTTCATCTCCATCATCGTCGGCCAGTTCCTCATCAGAAGATAGAGCGGCAGTGTAGGAGATTGACTTGCCATACACTTCTTTTCTGGCTGACTTGAGAGACTTAGTGGGTCTGGCGGAACCAAAGCTTTTGGATGATTTCCCACTCATCTGCGACCTCTGAGGTTTCGTCTTCAATGCTGCCGCACTAGCAGAGTCAAATATCACAGAGCCCTTTCTACTAGCAACTTTTTCATGTTCCTCAGACATGGCAGTGAGAGAGGAGTCGGAGTCCGAATCCGAACCCGACCCAAATTGGTCATGTGAAAAATGGTCTTTGCCAGCAAGACCATCAGAAGAATCAGACGAGGTGGAATCGGCTATGCTTAACCTTCTGTTGCGTTTCTGATTGAATTGGTATGCTTTGATTTTTTTACCCCCTGTTTTGGCAGCGTAGAATCTAGGGTTCAGTTTCTGCGATACGTTGGATTTTCGCCCGAAAGACGTTGTCTTTCCAGCCATTTTTGCCATCTTTGCAACTTTTGTGGTAGAAAGTAAGAATGTTATATGTTGATTTTTCAAAGCAGCGATCAAGCCATGCCCTTGATTTGGTTCTGGACAATTTCTCGTGGATGTTAGGTCTGATAACAGATGGCGGCACACAGTGCGTGGAGGAAATAAAAGCAGGCTCTGGTCTTTGATTTGGGTCTTCGGGCCTCGATCGCAAGAAAATATGCAATTTGTAAAAACTTCCCTTAGTGAATCTTAGGTTGCAAAAAGCAGCAGGCTGGCTTCCGTGGTTTCAGTTATGTCTTGATTGCCTGACTGTGGAGCGATGAGGTAAATTTGAGCAGTCTGTAAGTACTGAGAGGATGCAGGAAGACAAGTATGGCTTGAGAAGGTTGCATTCCCTTTCCGCGAGTGTTGTTATGTCGCGCATTTCATCGGACCCATACATCCATTGAGACCACTTGATCAATTACGGTTTTTCCCTCTTTATTCTTTTTTTTTTTGCTTCGAAAGTGGCTCAGTTCAGTTTCACCATGAATTTTTTCTTTTTAGAAGCATTTTTTCCCCCACATTTGTGATTGTCTCTAGTCGAGCGACCATGGCTAAAGCGCGGTTATGATTATTACCATACGCATGGCGTGCCAAACCTTTAAAAAGCGCCAGCGGGAGCGGGTGGTTAATTCACGATATATCCTAAAACATTCTTTACACGCAAAACTACCAACAGTCACATGACTAGATACTTGTTTTTGCGTTTGCGTGTTTCCAGCCCTTTATTGACAAGTGAAATGGGGTGATCACAAAAGATCTTCAATTCATGAGTTTGATTTTCATTTCATGAAATATCCAAATTGGGTTTGAGCTGCAGACATTGTGTGAGACGGCCAGAAAATGTATTCGGAGCATATTTGATATGTACTCTTCGAAAAAGCCCATACTTCAAACCACAAGACTTTATATGAAAAGATCAGATCAGAAGGGGCAGCAGAATCGCCTTTATACTGAGATTTGATTTATGGCTGTAAAAAATTGACAGCGGCTAGAGTTTCACAAAGAAATCTCAGGATGTAAGGGTGTGGGTGGTTGTGGGTGGATCTCAAAACAGGAGGCAATTTCGTGTATGCCAGAACCGCCAAAAGCAATAACGATGCGGCGGAAGAAAAAGCGGAAAAAGGGACACGCGATTACGCGCGCACACTTTCACACACCCAACCGAGTAGCAACATCATTTCTTTGGCCAGTATGTTGAACGCCAGAAATATCCGCGTAGCTCTCGGCGCTTTATTTATTTTCAGCGTTGTGGGTTATTTTCTTTCCAATGCCAGCGCATTTCCCGACTCTTCGATGAGGGTGCAAGTTCCTCAGAGCAGCGAGAACGCGATCAAACCCGTTCCCCAGGGATCGGCTGCCCAAGGTGAGGATTCGCCATATGAACCTTCGCAAGGCAAAGCCGAAGGGTCTTTGTCCGACGATGAATCCGACGAAGACACCGCAGATGCTGCCGTCAAGCCGGTGAAGCCAGAAAAACTTCCACAGCCCACGGGTCTCAAACAGGCAGACAGCAAACCAAAGGGTCAAGCCGAATCCAGTAGTGAAAAACAGTTGAGCAGCGACTCCAAGTGTGATAAGACCGACTATGTTGTCATGATCGACGCAGGCTCCACCGGCTCCCGTATCCACGTCTACTCTTTCGATACCTGTATCTCCCCACCTAAGTTGTTAAACGAGGAGTTCAAGATGTTGAATCCTGGATTGTCTTCGTTTGATACTGACACGCAGGGCGCCGCTGCCTCGCTAGACCCCTTGTTGGAGCTTGCTCTCAGCACCGTCCCCAAAGACAAACAAAGCTGTACTCCCGTGGCCGTAAAGGCGACAGCTGGGTTGAGATTGTTGGGCCAAGAGAAGTCTGATGCCATTCTCAAAGAGGTGCGTGCTCATTTGGAAAACGACTTCCCATTTGCCGTCGTGGACGGTGATGGAATCTCCATCATGGACGGGAAGGACGAGGGTGTCTACGCCTGGATCACTGCTAACTACCTTTTGGGCAACATTGGGTCGAAAGAAAAGCTTCCGACCGCTGCTGTTTTTGACTTGGGTGGAGGATCTACGCAAATCGTTTTCGAGCCTGAGATGGGCGACAACGAAAAGATGGTCGAAGGTGAGCACAAGTACGAGTTTTCCTTTGGCGACCGCGTCTTCACTTTGTACCAATTCAGTCACTTGGGCTACGGGTTGATGCAAGGCAGAAACAAGGTGAACTCCTTGATTTTGAGCAGCGCCATTAAGAACGGCGCGTCGTTGACCTCATACCAGTCAAAGTCTGCTGCCAAAGAGGCCAGTGGCACGGTGACCATGAACAACCCCTGCATGCCGCCTGGTGTGACGGCCCAAGACGTGATGGTTGAAGTTTCTGACGACGAAGTCTATGTTGTCAACTTCAAGGGGCCAAGCGAGGCATCAGGAGCCCAGTGCAGACATCTTGCCGAGCAAGTGCTCAACATGGAAGCCGAGTGCACCAGCAAGTCATGCTCGTTCAACGGTGTCTACCAACCATCGTTGGTGAAGGCTTTCCACAAAAACTCAGACATGTGGGTGTTCTCTTACTTCTACGACAGAACCAACCCACTTGGGTTCCCCAGCTCGTTCACAGTCGAGGAGTTGAGAGACTTGACCAAGACCGTATGCGCGGGTGAGAGCTTGTGGACCGATGTTTTGTTGGGCGACTCTGTGAAAGCGTTGCAGGAAGAGCCCCACTGGTGCCTCGACTTGTCCTTCATCACGGCCATGCTCCACACAGGCTACAACATCCCCTTGGGCAGGGAATTGAGAACTGCCAAGAAAATCGCCGACAACGAGTTGGGCTGGTGCCTTGGTGCGTCGTTGCCTTTGTTGAATCCGCAAGAGGGCGGCTGGAAATGTAGGGTGAAGGAGACCGCCGCGCAGGCTTGAGCAGGCGATTCCATCCCCACTCTTTTTATGCCACCCTTCTTCTTTCGGTAATTGCCTTTGGTCCGAGGGCTTTTTGTATTACAATTCATACGAGACTACTTCTTCACTGAGCAAGGGGAGCAGAGGGTCCCGGACATTGGAAGGGCCCGGACTGCCCCATCACCTGCACAATATGCACCAATAAATGCGAGTCGGAGCCCGCCCAAAAACCAACAGAACAGCAAAAAAAAACTTGGCCGGCGGTAACGCAGTGGGTGCCCCTATATATGCTGGCCGTCTTAAAGCGTAGTGTAACGGAAACCTTGGCTCGAAACCATGGCTCGAAGCACGGCTCGAAACCACGGACAGGGGGCCCGAATTTCCCCAAAGGCCCACGCGGCCGTCACGTGACCCACGACGCCTCCCGCTAGCTCGCATTACTCCCCGGTGCTTATAAAGCATTCGAAGCATTAGAAGATACACATTATATTGCCCACCCAAGTGTTCCGCAACGTAGGCGAAACATCAGCTTTTGCCCATTTCACTGAGGCTGCGTGTATTAAAACTGGCCCGAAAATCTCCGACTTCGGCCTCCATTGAGCGAGCTTGCTGGGCGGCTAATTGCTTGATCTGAACCTAGGACACAGGCGCTCAAATCAGTCGAAAACCCACGATTTCCGTCTAGGGACAGAACCTCAGAGTTGCGGCTACCAACAGTGGAGAACACCGTTTTTTTTAATCTTTCTAGTTGGCAAAAGTTGTCCTGGTCGGTACAAATTAGTCTAGTTGATAGAGATCAGTCTAGCTGGATATTGTGATCATTGTCTGGTTGGACACAAATCTGTCTAGTTGGACACAAATCTGTCTAGTTGGATAAAAATCTTCTTGGGTGAAATCAGTCTGGCTGGAAACAATTTGTCTGGCTGGATAGTATAATCACTTTCTGGTCGGATACAAATAGTCTGGTTGAATACAACTCTGCCTGATTGACAAGAAATCTGAAAACACAATCATCCTGACTGAAAATAAATCAGCCTGGTTGAATACAATTCTGTCTGATTGAGAACAAATCTCGCTTATACAAATCTGTCTGCTGGAAAACACAATCATTCTGATTGGAAACAAATCAGCCTGGTCAAACACAACTCTGTCTGATTGATAACAAATATCCCTGGCTAACACAAATCTGTCTGGCTGGAAAACACAATCATTCTGACTGAAAATAAATCAGCCTGGTCAACACAACTCTGTCTGGTTGGCAACAAATTTCTCTGGCTCATCTGTCTGATTGAATAAGACGCGCGCTGATCATCAGCCTCTCGGAGCTCGAACCCCGAAAACCAGTCCCGAACCGATGACCGACATTCCCAGACCAGCGTCCGCACAACGGACCCAGGCGTTGCGGCAGTCGCCGTCCACATCGCCGCTCCCCGCCAGTCACGTGCGCCGCAAGCTGTCCCTCAACAAAAGCAAGGAGCCGGCGGCCAGCAAGATGCTCCAGAAGCTCCACAAAGAGGAGCTCAAACAGGTGCGCTCGCACACGGACTTGGCGCAGACGGCGAACGGCGTGCGCATGCTCACGAAGAACTTGGCCAAGGCCACGATCCAGTTGCACGTGCGTGCGATCATGATCGTGACCAAGGCCCGCGACAACTCGCTCACGTACCTCACGCGCGAGGTCGTGGAGTGGCTCTTCAGCCGCTCGGAGAACATCACCGTGTACGTGGACCAC